GCCAGTAGTGTGTAACGTTTTTGCTTTTTTCCCCCTCCTCCTTCCCGGGAGGAGCGACTTCCCTCACCATCAAGTAGGGGAGAGCAACTGCACGTTTTGCTCAGTTCCTTCTCTTTCCATCTTTGAGAACCAGGTGGTTTCTCTATTCCTGGAGTTTTATAGGGTGCGACCCTCAAGGAGGAAGGGTTGTGGAGATCAAATGCTACATTTTACTGGTGGGCAAGTCTGACTAATTCTAGAGTTTATGTTGAAAAACCCACTGTCACAAATCTAAACCACATCCTCCAAACCCAGCTTTATCAGAATTTAAGGTTATTTCTTTTCATCATCTGTCAATCCTTTGCCTAAGTTCCTTCACATTCCCACCCACCTCCATGGATACTACTACTTGCACTACCATATAATTAAGACATTAGCCCTGTCCTCAAGAGTTTATGCTTTAAATGTAAAATTTAATTTTGATGTTGTCATGTGTTAAAAAATGCAAAAACAACAATAAAGAAACAATTAACTACCAAAATCTGATTTGATTATCAAGAATTTTGCTGAAATACACTGCATTCTCCTACCCTTATCATTACTGTCAATCTTCAATTTTGTTTCTCAGGGACAAATTCCTGGTCACTTACTATCTTTCAAATCTTGAGATAAAAGCAATGTGAAATACTCAGGAAATATTACATACACTTTCAAAACTAACGGTTCCGAGAGTAAAGACATTACACGTAAGCTTTGCCATAACACCTCCCAGCTTGCCCTACAGACTTCCAGGAAGATGTGAGGAAACCCAACACCTCCCTGCTGGTACGTGACCACAGGACACAAGCGGGTGCTGGGACTCGGCACAATGATGTCTGTGGCAAACTTTCACCCATAAAGAAATGCACGTGCCCTCGGCGGAGAGAACAAAATGATCGGGAGGTACATGTAACCAAAATAACACCTTTCTCCTTGCGGGTCAGGAGGGTGCAGACTTGGAGCTGAAAGACAGAGAGCACCACAAGGCCTCCCCATGGCTGTGCTACCCACGGCATTACAACGGCCACATCCACGTTCTGATGCAACATCCTATCACCGTCTTGCAACACATGATTTATGGCTCCGAGTGTTAAATTCAGTCGGTTAATCTCTTCCTTGCTCTCTTTTCCCCAGGCCCCTCTGAAGAGATGACATGGAACACGTGATTCCTTCTTCCTGCTGCTGCAGAGGAGGAGCACAGCAGGGGAACCACAACTTCCCAACTGTTTGCAGAGTTGTAGCTTTCCTCTGCTCCAGCAAAACTTACTACAATGAAAACACTGCAGTACATCAGATGTTAATAAGCCATCTCAAATATTACATAAAACTAACTATATGTTGAGGGTCATTTCCTCAATGTCAAAGGAGATGCAATTAATGCTGCTTTTTTTTGAGAACTGCTAATATAAAATAGCAAAGGCATAGAGGAATTGTTTTGGTGGGCAAGAGAAAAGGCTAAGGGAAGAGACTATTTAGTAAAACTTAGTTATCCCCTGGGCCTAGGAGGAACGTGGACACGGGCAAGGAATTACAGAGTACTACGTACCCAGATGTGACCTGGAAGGGCTCGACTCCAGGTGGGGATGTCCTCCGGGACCCCTCCTCCTGTGAACTGGGACTTGCCTGGAAGAACACCAGCGCTGGGCCCTCTACAGTACAAAGTCTTGGTTGCCTAGCTCTCAGAGCTGCACTGCTTATCCTTATTACTATTCTTTTAGGAACTAATTATATTTAAACAATACAAAAAACAAGATATTTAATCTTCTCAGTCCAACCCAACCCCCCAAAACTTTCAGGAACATTATTGGTAACAAACTTAGATTAGCATATCTCTAAATATGGCCCACTGGCCATCTGCATCAGGACAACAGAGGATGCCTATTAAACATGTAGAATCGTTTCCCAGATCTAAGGAATGGAAACTCGAGAGTGAAATCCGGAGCCTACATTTTTAACAAGCATCTCAGGAGATTCTGATATCCTCAGTTTGAGAATCATTGTGGTAGATCCTCTATTCCAACCAAATGGGACCGAGTCATAGAGGACTTACCTAAATGGAACTCTTAATTACTCAGGACAAAAATGCGGCTGAACTATGGACATCTCCTGTGTGTGTGTCTGGTGTATACAAATGGACACCACCTTTCAGCAGCATAACTAAGCTAGGCCACCCCCACCATCCAGAAAGCAGCAGTCAGTTTAAACATTTTTCCCTGAAACTTTCTCCTGGTAGGGTCCAGGAATGTGTATGTTCAACAAAACTGAACTGTTCTGCCCAGTCAGCATGGCTCAGGGATTGAGCGTTGACATACGAACCAGGAAGTCACAGTTCGATTCCTGGCCAGGGCACGTGCCTGGGTTGCAGGCTCGATTCCCAAAGCTGGGGGGCGGGGGTGTGTGTGGGTGCAGGGGGCAGCCTATCAATGATTCTCTCTCATCATTGATGTTTCTATCTCTCTCTCCCTCTCCCTTCCTCTCTGAAATAAAAAAAGAACCGGATACTCTAAAAAGAGATCTTAAAAACAAACAAATGAAAAGAGATCTTAGACATACATTTGTCTGTCATGAAAGACATGAGCTTTGAGACTGAAAAGGCCTGTGAAGTACCTGGGCAAAAAGAAAAGAACAAAGCATCCAGCCCCAAACAAAAACATGTTTTATATAAAATATTAAGAATCAAAATGATATCAGACTTCTCAACTATAGAGCAGTGCCTTTAAAATTCTGAGAAAAAAAATTTCTAATCTACATTTAATTATCTTTAAAAAATTCTTTTTTAATTTAATTTTTTATTACAAAGGGCATTACATATGTGTCCATTTTTTCCCCCCGCCCTAGACAGTCCCCTAGCCTCCCCTATCTATCTTTAAAATTTTTAATGCTCACCCAAACTATCAATTAAGTATGAGGCTAAAATATGAGTTAAAAGCTGCAATGACTTAACCTGACCCCTCAAAGAAAACCCTTTTCTGGGTGAATCACAAGAACCAAAAATCAAATAAAACTTTTTTACAGTTTATCTCCCATAAATCTTTTTTTCCCCCCAGAAAGAGGGATTTGCTACATCAAATTGAAGTACATTAAGAAAGAAAAAGACATTTTTTTTTTATCCAGGAAAAAGGAAGTCCAATACAAAAGTGAAGTCAAAGGAATCCCTGTGATGCCAAAAAAGCTTCCAAGATGACAACCGTGCAGGAGGCCTGGAGTCACCTTGTCCTCACTGAGGTAGCCTGGAGCAGGTCAGAGAAAAGATTTCTTCAACAAGGAGAAATTAATAGTACAAATAAACTGTTTGAACAGAAGAGAAGAACACATAACAGGGGTTTTAATGGTATGAGAGGACAATTACACATAAGAAAACACACCCTAAGAAAAAAATGAAAAAAAACTAAGACAATCATTTGAATAAAAGTATCATGTAAAATAATCACATTAAGACATTGTTTCCATACAATTGAATGCTATTTGGCAATAAAAAGGAATAAAGTATGGATACATGGATGAACCTCAAAAACATTAAGGTAAGTCAAAGAAGCCAGATACATAAGATGACATATTGCATGATCCCGTTTATCTTTTATTATTATTTTTCGCATGATTCCATTTATATGAAACGCCCAGAATAGGCAAGTCTATAGAGACACAAAGTAAATCAGTGGATGCCTAGGACTGGGGGAGAAGGGAGGAGAAAGGAAGTGACTGAAAATGGGTATGAGGTTTCTTTCTAGGGTGACAGAAATATTCCAAAATTGTAAATTTTATCTCAATAAAACTAAAGTCATAAAAACAAATTACCCCCTCCCCAAACCCACATTATTTTCCAAACTTTCCTCATAAGACCATCTTGGAAACCTGTAAAAAATAAGACTTCCCAGGTATCTCGGTCTCCATTCCAGAGGAGAGGCCTGAGGAGTTGCATTATTAAACATCTGTGTGCTTGTGGTTCCACTGTGAATTGATATAGACTTAAGGACGTAAATGTAAACTAATGATGTTGGTCCTGAATACTAATATAACCAAAGTCATTATACAGAAATATTTCATTTTATTGTGCTTTGCCTTACTCCACTGACAAATACTGCATTTTTTACAAATCGAAGGTCTGTGGCAACTTCACATTGGAAGTCTATGGGCACCATTTTCCCAGCAGCATTTGCTCACTTTGTGTGTCTGCATCACATTTTGGTAATTCTCACAATACCTCAAACTTTTTCATTATAGTCATGTGCTGCAACTATGTACTGCGTATAAAAGGTGGTCCCATAAGATGGAGCTGAAAAATTCCTATCTCTAGTGATGTTGTAGTCATTGTAACACTGCAGTGCAATATAATATTTATGTTTGTGGTAATTCT